TGCGCTTCAAAATACTTCCGTGCTATCGCACGGAGGATGAGCAAGTGGGCATAAAGATCAGGGACTGGAAGACTCTTGATTCTGCTATCTAAGGTGGGAAAGAGGCGAGATCTTTATAGACTGCCTGAATATGAGAATGGAAGGGAATGGTAGTGAATGGAAGCATCTGATCGGATCATCTGGAAGCCACTGATGCGTTGATGATGCCTCCTAGAAGTTTCTGTGGGGAAATGTGAAACGGACTGTGCGAATAGGGGTCAGACTGTTGGAGGCTGATATCCTATGTGTGACATACCCCCCCAGGTTGTGCTGGCTAGTGGGCAGTGCAAACTGAAGAAAGAAACTAGATCCCTAGCAACGTAGAGATATCGATGAGACCGAGTTGTTTGACGAAAGTAGCAAATTTCTGGCCTGGCAGAGCTTTGGTGAGGCCGTCTGCAATCATCTGGGAAGTAGGCGTATAAGTGAGCTTATAGAGGCCTTTCTCAAATGCCTGCCTAGCCCAACAGGTGTGGATGTCAACGTGACGAAGGGCTGTGCGGAGGCGTGGAATATCCTGTGTGACAAGACGAATGGTTTGAAGGTTGTCACATTGGATCGTCGGAATTCCATCAAGCTTAAGAGAGCTGCTCAAAGAGACGGAAGGTTGCAATAGTCTCTTTGCCGTGTGCGTGAGAGCAAGCAATTCAGCTTCTGTGGAAGAAGTGGTGACTGTATCCTGTTTACCGGCTTTCCAAGCAATAGGGCCGCCGAAGAGGGTAAGGATTGAACCCTGGGATGACTTGCGAGTCTTTTTATCATCAGCGAAAGCAGCGTCGGATGCGCTTTGGAAATCGCTATGATGTTGAGCGTGGAGCTGAGGAACAACATCCTCGTCGAGGCAGGGTTTTCCTGAAAACTGGATGGCGAGATACCTAGTGGCGTAAAGGTACTCGATCAGATGGTCTGCGAGCTTGGAGTGATGCTCGGAAGGGTTGTTGAGGAATTCAGCTAGTTTAGACGCTGGCTTGGCTATGTCCGAGCGGGTGATAGCTGCGGCGTAGGTCAGTGATCCAACTTTGCTCTGGTATAGCTGAATTTGGTCTGGAGAAGCCTGCCCTGTGTGCGGCTGGACTTCGTTGCACGGGAAAGGCTCCTCTGAAGTGGTCACGCCGTTGAAGGTCGAACCGTTGAACCATCCTTTCAATGTAGGAGTCTTGGCATAGCCAAAGCTTCCTGTTGGGTCTGTCACGCAGGACTCTGATACCAAGGAACCATTGTAATTCCCTGGTCTGTCATCGCGTACTTCCTCTTGAGGGCTGCAACCATCTCATCAGCTGCGTCCTCGTTTTCCTTGCGATAGAGGAAAACAATATCGTCAACGAAGAAGAAAACAGTGAGCCAGTCGTTCTGGAAGATGCAGGGTTCGTCGGGACACTGTGTAAGACCAAGCTCTCTGAATGCAGCAGTGAGTTCCTTCTGCCAAAGAAGAGGGGACCGTCGGAGGCCATAGAGGGCTCGCATGAGGCGAAGAGCCCATCCCTGTCTGTAGTATCCGTCTGGGAAGGCTACATAGACCTCCTCCTCGTCTTCTAAGAGGGCGTTTGTGAAGGCATTAACTGCGTCGAGCTGTCGGGTCTCAAGGTCGAATTTGGCGGTGATGGCCATGAGAATCCGGAAAGAACGTCCTGCAAGGGTTGCTGCATAGGTGTCCTTGTCACCTAGCTGTTGAAGATCTCCTCGAACACAAAGACGGGCTTTGAACTTTGTAAGAAAGCCATGCTTGTCGAACTTATACTTAAAGACCCAGGTAAGTGGCAAAAGCTTGCCCGTGACCTGGTCTCTGGGGACCGCTCTGAAGGTTCCTCTCTGTTGGAGTGCTTTCCACTCGGCGTGGGCCCTTCTCTGAACTGAGGACCAAATCTGTGGGTGCGAAGTTCCTTATACGTCGTAGGTTCGGGAGGAAGGTGTCGTCTGTGAAGTTTTTCTTCTCTGCCGAGAAAGAAAGAGCTGTGGAATTGACCCTTAGTGTTGGTCGAAAAGCACTGAGCTTGCGAGGCTTTGGAGTGCGGGCTGAGCGCCGTGGCTGAGAGTCACTCGGACCGGGGTCCGGTGTCGGATATGGGTGCTGAATGTCATGAAACTCATCCTGATCATCCGAGTCCTCGCGATCAGATGGTTCGGGTTGTACCACAATCGTGGTGGCGTCTCCTTGGTCTGAGGTTGAGGGAGATTGCTCAACGGGGTCAGGTTCAGGTTCATCGATTTGAGTGGGGATTTCCTCGTAATCCGACTCGTCCTCGATGTGGGCTGGAAGCTGTACTTCACGCGATGCGGGATAGGTTCTGGTGGCTGATCATTTCCGTCATAGAAGATGCTTTCATTGAAGGTCACATCTCGGACCCTTCGGACTTCTGATGTGGACGGAATCCAGATCCTGAAAATGTTCGTGGAATCATATCCAACGAGATAACCGATTTCTGTGTGAGGGTCGGTCTTTAGGTCCTTCTTCTGTCTGTTCTGAATGGCCTGGGGTGTCAAGGGATAGGCTCTGCAGCCGTATGCCTTGAGAAACGTGATGTCAGGCTGGTCTTGCTGGTAGCCTATGTCTCTGTTGTTGTCTCGCAGCCACTGATGAAGCAGCTGGAAAGGCGTTCGGAAGCTGTGGTTCTGCATGGGCGATCTGTTGTGCAAAAACACTGCAGCTTTCCAGGTTTCTGGCCAAAGATCAGATGGTAAATTGGCATCAATTCCCATTGTTCTGGCCTGGGCAGATATTACCCCCCCAGATCGCTCTGCAGAACCGTTTTGAGCGGGAGTGTAAGGGGCAGAAGGTTCATCTTGAATCCCTTTTCCTCGATCCAGCTCTCATACGCACTCTGAAGAGAACGATCGTTATCACGGTGGATAATGCAAATGTTGAGATTCCATTGGCGTTGAACCATTGCCTCGTGGTTTCTCAAAGCAGTCATAACGGACCCTTGTGTCGCGTCATTCAGAAGGTAGATGAAGATCATGCTTGTAAATTCATCTTTGATAAGAAGAACAGCTTCCTTGCCGTTGAATGAGGTGTTCATACTGAAGATATCAACGTAGATTCTCCAGAATGGTCTGGGGCTCGGTTTTGAGGGGTTCGGCGAGACGACCTTCTTTCCCTTCCCAAGGAACACGCGGTGCAATCGATGGTAACTGGGCCTTTGATCTTCGAACCCGTCGTGTTCTCAACAAGATGCTCTAGGGCTTGAGCGTTCAAGTGACCTAGGCGCTTATGCCAAAGCGTAGCATCTGCTGTTTTCACTGCGCGAGGTGCAGATGAAGATGTGAAGTTGGAGGCGTGAGAGTCCTTAATCGGGTTGAACTCGATGACCGGTTGACGAAAGCGGCGTTTCGTATGAAATATAATCTGATCGTCTTTAGAGACGCGTCCAGATAGTGGATTCCAGTTGTATCCCTTCGCAAGAAAGCGGTCGAGGGATGCGATGTTGGTGTGGAATTTTGGCACGAAGGCAACTTCGTTGAGCTGAAAAGTCCTCCTTCTTCAAGCTTCATACGGACTGTGCCGTAGCCAAGGATCTGAAGTTGACTATCGCCTGCAAAGAGCTCTTCTGGCTCTGCAAGGGCGGTGTAGTCAAGAAAACGGGATCGGTTGTTGCAAATGTGTGTGTCTGATCCGGAATCAAGGATAAAGGAGTCATACAGCGGGTAGACTGCCTTTCCGTCGAGAAACTGGTTGATGGAGGTGTTGAGGAGGCGGTGTGTTGTCAGGAGCTGGTAGAAGACCGGCAAACGCTGTACCTTTAACGGAGGAGTCGGACGATTTCTCCATTTCCTTCTTCTTGAAGTCTTGTGCTTTCTCCGTCATCTTCTTTGCCCATGGATTGGAGTCGAGGATTTCTTGATCTTCTTCTCAACCTTCTGATCAGGAGTCCAGCCATCAGGCCGAGCTGATTTGATGAGATAGAAGCAATCTACGAAGCGGTGATATTCTCCGCAGACACACATAGGAACACCATCAGCGTTCTTGCTTGAAGACCACTTAGGCTTGTCCTCTTTCCTCTCCGATTTCTCTCCCTTGCCTTGGAAGGCAGCTCCGAATGATCCTTTGCTGTTGTTGGCGGCCTTGATTCGGTGAGCTCGTTCAAAGATCTCACTGATCTTAATGCCGTCCGGGAAGTCGGTCTTCCAATCAGGCTTGCCGAATACGGCCTCGTCTTCCATTTTGTTGACCCAATAGTCTGTGAATGGGGCGTTGATGGACGAAACAGCCTGTAGGAAATCTTGGGTAGGGCGAAGGTCCTGGACATCAGGAAGCCCTAATTGCTTTGCCTCAGTGAGGACTTTCTGCCATTGGGTGACCCAAGCTTCGATCTTGGTCCTGTTTGGCGACTGAAGGGTGGAACGATAACGCTGAACAACTTCCTCTCGAGTGCCCAGTCGGTTGGGGCCACACGAGCCTGAAGCAAGGCAAGTTGCTTTGCAACGTCGTGTTCCTCGGCAATGGTGCTGTAGTAGTTGCCGATGGTCTTGACGATGTGTTGTTGAAGGCTGGCGAGTGCCTTCACTTGATCCCTATACCCTTGAAGCTTCGAGCGGTATTGGGTGTGGAGGAATTCGAGACGGCGAAATTCCTCCGAGGTCAGATCCACGAGATCAGATGCTTCGTGGTTGATTTGTCGGAATGTTGGTTCAACTGGCTGCTGAAGAACCGGCTTACCCTCCTTGACGGCAGGGTCCAGAAAGTCCCAAAGACTGTGGGACGTGGCGAATTTCTTGATGATAGAAATCCATTGTTTCCAGTCGCAAGGGCCGTTGAGCACGGTGCCCTTGGAAGAGCCATCAAGATCTAGAGCTGAGCTCATTGTGGAAGCTATTCTGCGCAGCGGAATGAACGAGAATAAGATACCCAGTCAATGGCAGACCGGGCTCATAACTATCGCACGGAGGATGAGCAAGTGGGCATAAAGATCAGGGACTGGAAGACTCTTGATTCTGCTATCTAAGGTGGGAAAGAGGCGAGATCTTTATAGACTGCCTGAATATGAGAATGGAAGGGAATGGTAGTGAATGGAAGCATCTGATCGGATCATCTGGAAGCCACTGATGCGTTGATGATGCCTCCTAGAAGTTTCTGTGGGGAAATGTGGAAACGGACTGTGCGAATAGGGGGTCAGACTGTTGGAGGCTGATATCCTATGTGTGACACGTGCTCTCTCGACGGCCTTCAAGTAAGTCTTCTTGACCTCAGGGTGACTTTGGCGCCAGCCTGCGAGCCAGTTCTGAGACATAGGTCTTGATGATGGATCTCGTCGCTGCCTGATTGTATTTGCGGCAGCCTCAAGCTGCTCCTTTCCCGCTGGAATACCAGTACGCTCCATCCACTGTATGTACGCCACAAGGGCGTTATCTTCATCCTCGGTCAACGCAGTTGGGCGCCCCTGACCTCGGGCAAATGGGTTTTCCAAAGAACGGATGGCCCTCTCGACAGCGCCTCTATTGACTTTGTACCTAGGAGCCGCTTTGCGGATAGAAAGGGGGGTTCGTTGTGGTGTTGTGGCACGACGTAGGGCCGCTCTAGGCGGCCGGCGAGAGGCGATGACGTCTCGCGCGGCGGCTAGGGCATTGTCATTGGGAGTCATACCGTATGAAATAGAGAATAACCTCTCAAGTTGGTTTGGGTTGAAAATACGCGTTGACGGCAATTGAGACGGTACTCAAAAGAGAGGCGACTGTCACGGAATTTTTGTGATGTCACGGATTTTTTGTGCCAACTAAAGGGCGTAAGACCTTTAGTGGGCTGCCGTGGCCCCACCACGCTTAGACCAACGGGTAACGTTCAGCGAAGTCGCGATGGCCGAAGATAACAACATGCAGCCGGACGTCCTCAGCGCCCTGGTTGCCGAGATACGAAGTTTGAGAGAAGAGAATTCCCGAAGAAATACCCAGTTTGAAGAACGGTTTATTGCCTTGGAACTCCAGCAACACCAGCAATCCCGTTCGTCTGAACTCCCAAAGCCGACGCCATCTGTCACCCCGGCTGTCCCCATCGAGGACATCCATGTAGTCGCCACTCACAGCCCTCATCCAACCAAGCGCCCCAAATTACGAGACATCCCGAAATTCGGCGGCGACAAGGCCCAGTGGCGAAGCTGGAAACTAGAAACCGAAGGAAAACTACGAGTCGATAAAGAAGCCCTTGGAGATGCAGAGGGCCACTTTATGTACATCTTCATGAGCCTAGAAGGCAAGGCTAAAGACAACGTGACCACATTTGTGGAGATGCAAACCGAGAAGAAAACGTTCAATGTTGCTGAACTACTCAACCGCCTCGAGTTGTTGTACGGGGAGAGGGATCGCAAGCAGAGAGCTACACGCAACTTGCATTCGATTAAGCAAGGGAGAATGAACCATTCACGTCCTTTACCCCGCTTTGAGAGGAGATCGCCAATGCCAACGCCGAGTATTGGCCAGACGACAGCAAGATTTCCTACCCAGGAGGCACTAAACGACAAAATGAAAGCAGCCCTTATAGGCTCTGACCCCTCTGCCATCAGCAGCTACGTTGGGCTGGCGAGGAGATGCGATTCGCTGAGCAGCCAGATGGAACTGTTGGGTCAGTGGAAAAGGCCCCGAGGCAACACAAAGAGTTCGGACAACTATGACAACCACCAGAACCATGGAGGCCAGGCCGCCCAGAAACAGTCCGGCCAGAAAACTGAAGTTAGACGAGAGGACATGATGGAATGGGAGCCAACTCTACAAGCATCCGCGAAAGTGAACGCTGCGCGCACCCGCAGTGATAAGAACACATATGGTCACCAATCCAACCGACCAGAAGACCAAGCGCTGTTGGGCAAGCGTGCAAAGTGGGTCGATCAGACCGAGATGGACGCCCGTTACCGTGAAGGGCGTTGCCTTCGTTGTGGAAGAGACAACTGCAGGATCGAGCGCTGCCCATTGGCTGCGCCTATCCGACCCGCAAACGCGACCCGTCGCACTCAGGTCAATGCCGTGGCTCCGACACGACCAGCGGTCACTAATGCCGAGATCGCCGAAGACGAAGCTTCGTCTCATAGCGATGAAGATTCAGACTAGGACACGCGGCGGCTGTGAGAGAATGGGATGTGAGCGGAAAAGCAAAAATGGACGGAGAACCGTTCATAGCAGACGTCAGGGTGAACGGCACAGACTTTGTGCCATCTCTTGTCGACTATGGCTGCCTCTGCTACGGCGCGGTTAGCAAGCGCACATTTCACTCTCTCCAGTTGCCACATATACGCGTCCAGCCGCGCATCTTGGAGAATGCAGCGGGAGACGGCAAGGAGGTCAAAATCGACAAGATCACGTATGTGTCGATCGACCTCGATGGACATCAGCAGCATCGTGTTTTCATGTACGTCATCGACGATCTTAACTGGGACATGATCCTGGGTAAACGATGGATGGAAGACCAGGATGTTCACATCCACGCAAAGGAAGGATATCTCGAGATCGGGTCCAGTGGAGTTCAAGTACGAGACCGACGACGTTACCAGCCTCCCCAGCTAGACGTCTCTAATGTCATGGCCGCAACCTTTTTAGCGGAAGCACGCCGTGACAAACGCAAAGGCGGCATTGGAGTTCACTCGGTCACAATGGCGGATATTGACAAGGCCCTAAGACCGAAACCGAAGACTGACGTAATGGAGAAGCTGCCACCACAGTACCACAAGTGGTCTCGAGCTTTCTCTCAGCAACTGGCCGACCAGCTGCCCCCTCATCGGCCAGGTGTGGACCTGAAGATCGAAGTGCTGAAAGACGAGCATGGCCGAGAGAAGCCCTACCCTGGGGACCGCTTTACAGCATGTCCCGCGAGGAGCTATTGGTGCTACGAAAGACCCTCACATAACTACTCGACAAGGGATTTATTAGAGTCAGCAGCTCGCCAGCCGCAGCACCAGTCCTTATGGTGAAGAAGCCCGGTGGAGGCATCCGCTTCTGCGTGGATTACAGAGGTTTGAACCATATAACGAAGAGGGACCGCTATCCCTTGCCCTTACTGAGCGAGACCTTGCGAACTATAGCCAAGGCAAGGTGGTTCACCAAGGTAGATGTAATAGCAGCGTTCCATAAGATCAGGTCGCCCCGCCGACGAAGAAAAGACAGCTTTCAGAACGCGCTATGGATCCTTCGAATGGCTGGTAGTTCCATTCGGCCTGACAGGCGCACCAGCAGCCTTTCAGCGGTACATTAACAGCGCGCTCCAGGATTACCTAGACGATTTTGTGTCAGCATATATCGACGATGTCCTGATCTTCTCCTCTGAAGCCTGCAAGACCACCGCGACAAAGTCGGCAAGGTCCTCCAACGACTGATGGATGCTGGGCTGCAACTGGACATCAACAAGAGCGAATTCGAAGTCAAGGCTGTGAAATACCTTGGGTTTATCATCGAGGCGGAGTGTGGGATCCGAGTCGACCCAGAGAAGGTTGAGGCTGTGAAGGGATGGGCAACCCCGACGAATGTTAAATCCGTGAGGAGTTTCATCGGATTCGCGAACTTCTACAGGATATTTATGCCAGACTTCTCGGTGATAGCTGAGCGCTAACGCGGCTAACGAAGAAGGACGCCATTCCGTTGGGATGGATTGTGCGACGAAGCCTTCGAGAAGCTCAAGGACCTGTTGATCACGGCCCCGATCCTGCACACTTCCATCCAGAAAGGAGACTATCTTGAAGCAGACGCTTCAGGATTCGCGTCGGGAGGCGTGCTCTTGCAGAGAGATGATAAGGGTGGACTGGTACGACCTGTCGCATACTTCTCGAAGAAACATTCGGCAGCCGAAGCGAACTACGCTATCCATGACAAGGAGCTACTCGCCATTCTCAGATGTTTGGAGCAGTGGGAACCAGAGCTACGGGCAGTAGAGCACTTCAAGATCCTAACGGACCACAAGAACCTGAGATACTTCTACTCGGAAAGGAGGTTGACAGAGAGACAAGTGCGGTGGTCGGAGTTCCTGTCCAGGTTCCAATTCGAACTCGAATGGAGGCCGGGCCGCAAGGGCGGATTGCCTGACGCACTCTCTCGACGGGACCAGGATATGCCGGCCAACCACTCTGATGAACGACTAAAGGGACGCATTATGAGGCTATTCCAAGATGATCACCTTAGAAGGGTCCCAATATCGACATTGTCTACCAACACCGAGGGTGCCCAGGAAATCAACTTCGGAAAAGAGATCAGGATATTTGAAGATGAGGAGTTACAGCAGCTGTGGCACGCCGCACGCCAAGAAGACAAGCTCTATCAAGAACTCACGAAGCTGGTAGCAGATGGAGCGAAGAGTTTGCCAACAGAATTACAGAAGGAGAAGGTTGTCAGCATTTCAGAGTGCTCATTAGACAATAGAGGCCTGCTGTGCTTTAGAGAACGCGTCTGGATACCCGGTTCGGAGCCGCTACGTACGAGGATCATCCAGGAAACTCACGACTCTCATATCACCGGACATCCTGGAAGGGACCTCACGTACTCGACTCTGTCGAGACGCTTCTTCTGGCCGGGTGCCGCTAGCGATGTACGTCGGTTTGTGCGCAACTGCGAGGTTTGCGGACGAAACACCATCTGGAGGGATACAAAGAAAGGACTCCTAAAGCCGCTCCCTATTCCGCAACGCATATGGAGCGAAATTACCATTGACTTTATCACTGACCTCCCACCGTCGGGGAAGGATGGCGCGACGAACTGCATGGTGGTCACGGACCGACTCACCAAAGGCGTCGAACTCGAAGGATTGAACGATATTTCCACAGAAGCGGTTGCAAGAAGACTATTCGAACGACATTACCCTGTCCATGGCATCCCAACGGCTATCGCCAGTGATCGGGGTCCCCAGTTTGTCAGTGGTATGTGGAAAAGTTTCTGTCAGATGCTAGGGATCGAGCAGCGGTTGTCGACGGCGTACCATCCACAAACCGACGGTGCAACAGAACGAATGAACCAAGAGGTAGAGAGGATTCTTCGGATATGGACGAATTATCTGCAGGAGAACTGGTTAGACTTGCTTCCAATCGCGATGGCGACTATTAACGAGAGGGAAGCAACCTCCACCGGACTGAGTCCGTTCTTCTTCATGCACGGCTACCACAACGAGCCAATCCAGTTAGTTGAGCATCGAAGAACGGAAGACACGACGCAGGGGGAAGCGACAGCGGAGGATTTTATTCAGAGACTACAGGACGCCACGGAGTTTGCGCAAGCAGCGATAGCTATGGCCCAGGAAATACAGCAAGCGCAAGCCAACAAGCACAGGACAGCCGCACCGAGACACGAGCCTGGGGATTGGGTATACCTCAACTTGAGAAATGTCAAAACATCGCGACCCTGCAAGAAGCTCGATTGGCTACATGCCAAATATCAAGTGCTCGCGGAAGTTAGCCCACATGCCTACAGGTTGGATGTGCCTGGGCGCATCCATCCAGTCTTTCACGTCGACCTACTCCGGCCAGTCCCGGAGACCCATTGCCTTCGCAGAAACTCGATCAAGAGAGTGCCCCACCGGTGCTGGTGGACGGCGAAAGATGTACCTTGTTGAAAGAATTCTGGATGAAAGAATGGAAGGTACGCATAAGAAGGTGCTCGTAAATGGCATGATTACTCGCAGCCTACGTGGAACCCCTACTACTATTCGACACACCGATGCATGGAAGCAATGGAAGAAGCATAAAAGGAGTGTCACCTTCTCAAGTCATCTTGCCACAGATTGCCACGATCCCCGGAAGAGGAAACGTTGGAAGGAGGGGTAATGTAACGGGCAAGTTGCTTTAACGGCGGCTGCGCCGCCTAGCTTCTAGAACCTTCCATTGGCTCGAAGCTATAAAATGCTATTGTGCTCTCATGTAGTAGATTCTCTTTCTTTCTTTCTTTCTTCTCTATCTTGATAGTAAACAGCATAGGGACTAGTTAGTTGTATCAACTCACTAGAGGCCTTTCACACTTCCTCTTGGTCTGCTTGAAGGGGACAATTGGAGGCAAGTTCTTCAACTGATGGGCAAGATCACCCTAGATAGGGATGATTTTTAGTATTGATCGATTCGAATCAAACAGCGATCGATCGATATCGATCGATTGAAGGTGACGATCGATAAAATTCGATCGATCAGGCTCGAAAATCGATCTATAAGATCGATTTCCAACTCTGGCTTCGGATGAGTTCCAACGAGTCGCGTTGTCCACGATAACATCGTAGGTCGTTTGATCCTCGAGGTTCAGGGCAATGTTCTCGATGGACTGCAGTTTGTGAAGCTTCTCAATGCGCTGACCAGACCTTTGCACCCAATGGACGATATTGTGGAGTTTTCCTATGGGACCTTTGCACCTTCAAAGCTTCATGTCATCCTGGATCTCTTTCTCAGCTTGACAATCTTCCTCAAAGGCGTCGACGTCTGTTCCAAAAAAGGATGGATCGGGCGACAAGATTGATGATATGCCCACAGCAGCGAAGTCGCCGATGCTGCTTCCTAAATCCTATCTCGGAGCTGAGGTGCCCGAGGCAGGTGTCGTTGCTTTCCGCGTTGTCCGTCACGAAGTATCCCACGCGGCTCTCAAAGCCGTACTCGTGGATTATCTCGCTCACTCGGTCGGCAAGGTTCCCACCGCTGTGGCGACCCTCGATCCGAGGCAGGCCGAGGAGAAACGTTCGAAACTTGCCTTCGTCATCGAGAAAATGGACGGTAAGTCCGAGTAGGGACGTGAATTTACGAGAGGACCTATCGCACGGGGTGTAGAGCAGCAGCAAGCATGAAGATCAGGAAGTGGAAGAACTCTTCATTTAGCTATCTAGAGGGGAAAAGGAGCAACATCTTTATAGATGACATAAAGGAGTGGCTGGGAGATGCTAGAAGCATCTGATTATATAGTGTAAGTGCCTATAATGTGTGCATAATGTTGATGGTTGGTGTGGCTGTTTGGCATAGTGTAGATGGTAGGGGTTAGCCTGTTGGAGGCTGATATCCTGTGTGTGACAGGACCATGCATCAAAAGACACGTTGATGCGGCTAAGCGAGCGACTGAGCAATTCTGTCACGACGCCTTTATGCCGATCGAACGACCGTACAATCCATTCGCGGAATGTACTATGTGTGGGAAGACTTCCCGAGTCGACGATAGCTCCATTCGCATATGCCATCAAGTCGCGAAAATACGGACTTTCAAGCTTGTGAAATGGGATGTTATCGCAAGTCACCCAGCGGATGAGCAGCTGCTGAAAGCGAATAGGTTCAAAGGACGCGACGAAAGCATTCATCAGAGCTTGTTCCCTAGGCTGGTGGGAATCCAGGTCAATCATGTCGAGCAAAGTGCGTTGTTTCTTTCTCTGAGCTGGCATCGGCCCGTCCTTGTTGATGTGGTGAGTAACTGCCATATGGGCGCTCGCCTGGCTCGTAGATGCAGCGTCGTATATGTGCGTTACGGTGGCCCTCTTCCGGTGACACATCTTACACAGCCAAAACCGATGACCAGAGCTGTCTTTCTCAATGTCGTATCCATGCTCTCTTGTTGGATTCGATGCACTGGATTGGGGAGCATTGTCTGTGACACTGGAAGAAAAAGCACGCGCCTGAATCACTGGCACGACATTTTTTTCGGTATTGGGAGATAGGGCCATACTAGATCATGAAGCGCATCCGCGCGAGAACCGCGGATCGGGTTGATGCTGGGGGAATGGCCTGGGAAACGCTGCGCAAATTTGCAGGATCACAATTGACGATGCGTAAAGCCGCTGGTGCGCGCCAAGATGAAAATTTGCGCGTCACGCGTTAAGGTTCGACCCCAAGCCTCCTCCGGTCCCTAAGTGGGAACTCAAAACGAGGATCAACGAGGTCTCGTCGGCAGGTTTGGTGGGCAGAGGCTTACCCTGAAGCTGCCATTCAGATAGTCAAATATCCAAATAAATCCGACCTCTGCGATCTGATTTGATCTGAATATGTTGCAGGTCAATTTGATTTGATTTGAATAACCTGAGAGGTGATTTGATTTGATCTGATTTGGATATATCTGATTTGATTTGAATATATCTGGATTTGATCTATCTGTTTGCAAGTCTGAAATTTGCACGCGCCTTGTCTTTGATCTGTCGTGAAAACGGGTTAACGATCTAGGTCCGGAGGTTACCTAGTCGGGCTGACTCTAGCAAAGGTGACTGAGAAGGATGAATAATGTTGTTGTTAAGCGGTGGTATCGAACCTTCTAGATGACAACGTCATCTAGGCGGCCTGGGTGGCGACATCGCCACCACAAGGCAGCCACAGGTGACAGAACTATAAGAAGTCACTTTTTGTTAGGGAGGAAGAAGAATATAAGGACAAGGAACTTAATCTATTCATCACTTGCACCCTCTCTTCGCGAGATGATCACACCCCCCGAGGCTCGGCGGTCTTCGGCGCCGCAGCCTGTCCTTGCCGATCGGGACTCGCAAAACATGTCTGTATTAATGACATTGGTTTTCCCGCCCACTTGTGCCGCATTCGCACGATCCACTCCCGTAGCTACGTACGCAGCATCTCTGATAAAAGAAACACCAGGAACAGTCCGAATAGGTGGTGCAAGTAGTTGAACCGGAAAATAGCCTCGATCCGACCAAGAGGCCTCCCCCTCCCCCTCTCTTGGTGTGTATTGGCGGGGTCACTGGATCTTGAAAACTAATAGTGTTCTCTTCAGAGATAGGGTGGCTGCTGGGAACAACATTTCCATCGCCGCCGTACATATCTAAGATGGCGGTTAATTTACGCAGTTTCGCCACCAAAGGTAACTTACTGCCGTTGAGGACATTATGTCCAAGCGCAGAGGCTTGCTCTAAGAGTAGGACAAAGAAGAAGCCTTTAAGATGGAAGAGCATCGTGGGAGAGAACAAGATACTCAGAGAGCGAGAATAAATACTATCGAGGAATATATCTTGGAAATAAACAGGTAAGCTCATATCAGTACAAAGAATTTGCTAGGCCTTTTATAATAAACACGGCCAACGATGATTAAGAAAGGCGAGAAATAGAGTTATAGGGAATTGGCTTAGGTTTCGAGAGATACACACATAAATTGAAGATTAATGCATACGGGAGGAATCTGCTACGTAATGTAAATATCTTTATAAAGCGTCTTTATAAGAGACAAGGGTTGTATGCCGTAGCGGCAAAGAAGCTCCGAGGAATTACTTTCGGTTGCGGGGCCAAATACGGCAGGCTATAGGGGTGACTGTTGCAAAACCCCAAAATCCGTCACCCAAGTGTCGAAATAGGTTAGCGGCATGGACATCCTGCCCCGCAGTACACTGCTCCATGTACCTCAGCGTTTATCTCTTTGAATTTTGTCACGTAGCAGAAGGTGCAAATACACCGGCGGGGACGCAGCGGACCAGCAGAGCGCATTTCTATCACGCCCTACAGATATTTGCCGCCACCGTGGCGGTCGAGTTGGGAAACATCAACGCTCAATTGTTCACCTCCTCCTCGCCTTCCTCTTCATCGTCCTCCTCGTCCGGCTTATTGAGCTGCTGAGCATGGGGTTAGTAGTGGAAATGTATCGTGCATGCTCTGCGCCAACCCTTTCTTGCCGCCGTCGATCACCATCGGCACCTCGTCCAACCCTCCGACGCTCTGAGCGCGGCGCGCCATCGCGCCGAGGGCGAATCGAGGGTGTAGATTCCGATGGAAGTGTCAAAAATGATTTTAGAGTGTGCGTTGGCCCTCAAGCGTCCAAGTTCTCGCCGAAGTTCCTGTATACCATCGACCCGTTAGAATAAGAGATCTAATAGAACATTTGATCCGTTAAAGCGAGTGATCCGTTAAAATAAGAGATCTAATAGAAGATTTAATCCGTCAAAGGGAGTAATCCGTTAAAATAGGCGACCAGTTAGGATAAGTGATCTAATTGAATATTCGATCCGTTGTAAGAGGCTGGCCCGGAGTTTGTTCAACTAACAGGTGCCTATGTGTTGTCTATCTAGAGCTGAGGAGGAAAGGAAGCTGAACTTGAGGCGTAGCCTCGAGTGCGAGCTTATATTACCCTTCACAGAATGTTCTCGCAGCTTCCGGGTCCGCGGAGCGGGGCCGGTGCTGCCACCCGAGCACGACCCACCGGACCCGGTACAACCGGGTCCACCAAGCCGGGCACAGCCCGTGACATTAGCCCCCTTTCTCCCCTCCGACCAGGTCGGCGTCTGCGGGGTTCTTGCTTTCCTGCCAGCGTCTCGTACCTCTCCCTAGGGCCATCATTTGTCGCGAAGCACGTCTGAGATCTTGAGCTCGGGGTGACCATAAGGGGCATACAGCTAAGGGCCCCGACGGGCTAGACAGAAAGGCAGCCTGCAGAGAATTCTGAGGCTGCAGAAGACTATTAGGAGACCGCATTAGGCAGCCACACAGGCTGTAGAGAGACTGCATATACGGGGGAAGCTGAAAGAGCCCTCGGCGACTAGGGAAAGTCAGTATGCAAAGGGGGGGCTGGGGAAAGGAGCCCAGCCTCCTAGATATTGTACCTATACAACTGAAAAAGGGATATAAATAGGGAGCCTAGAAGAGGGCAATTGCAAGAAGAAAAGACACGACGGAATACAACAAAAAAAAACACCCATTATTAAAACAATCAATGCCCACTTGCATGCTCTCTTCGTGAGATCATTGGTCTTGATTGGCCCGTACTTGTCCTCGAATGCCTTCATCGCAATTGTTCCTTGCAACCACTCAAGTGGCTCCCAAGTCGGCTCTGCGTAGCCCGTCCATCGCACTAGTGCTTGCCTGAATTCCCCTCGTCCGCGCTTCTTCCATCTCGCGCAGAGAATCTCGTCGACATCCCACAGATCCGCGCCGGTCTCATCTTGTACCGGTGGTGGCTGTGCGTCATCCACCTTTTGGCCAGGAGCCGGATCTTGATGCGCCCTCCGCAAAAGGTCAACATGGAATCGCGGGTAAATTGAACCACGAACATCGAGCTCAACGACGTGCGAACTAATTACCTTCGTGACTGTGTACTTGTGATGCAGCCAGTCGAGCTTCTTGCACGGTCGTGGTGATCTGTAGTTTGCCATCGAGAGCCACACCTTGTCACCAACTTCGAACCGCTCCGCAGGCTGTCGCTTTGCGTTGGCTGCCTCTTCTTGTTGTTGCTGTGAGGCGGCCATCACTGCTTGCATGTACTCATTGACCTCCTGCAGGCGACTGAGTAGGCCATCAGCTCTGCTTTCCTCTCTATCCCTTGGTGGCTCTTCCGATTCTTCGACGCTGATGGGATCGACGTGGTAACCATGCTCAGCGAAGAAGGGGCTGATCTTGGTCGTTGCGGATTCGCGATTGTTGAGTGCCAGCTGCGCGGCAGGGAGCAGTTCTCCCCAGTCGTCCTGCACGTACGACACATAGGCTCTCAGGTAGGCCTCGATCTCCTGGTTCATTCTCTCTGGCCCTCCGTCCGTCTGAGGATGATAGGCTGTGCTCAATTTCTGCGTGACACCTGCAAGACGGCAGAACCTCTTCCAGAACCTACTTAGCCAGTTGCTCCCGCGGTCGCTGACGATGGACCGTGGCATTCCGTGAAATCGGTAATGACACTGGAGAAAACGTTTTGCACACGGCTCAGCTTCCATGTTGTCCATCACTTCGAGGGTCACAGCCTTTGTCAGTCTGTCCACAATCACCCACAGGTACCTTGCCTTTCTCGGTCCAGTAGGCGGCAGATCTGTGATGAAGTCCATGGACAAATGGCTTCGGGGTCGATCTGGAATCGGGAGAGGCTTGAGAAATCCCCTTTTCGACTGACGCCAGATGTGTGCTCTGCCGCAGGTGTCGCAATTGGCTACGAACCGGCGAACCAGCTGGGACTGTCCAGGCCAGTAGAATCGCCGAGCCACGATAGCCAGCGTACCTTCCCTGCCGGGATGACCGGTCGCAACAGAGTCATGCGACTGCTGCACAATGCGGGTTCTCAACTGGTCTTTCTCAGCTTCCTCCTGGTTACCCGTCTCTCCGGATCCACCCGGCACCCAAATACGGTCTCTGAATGTCAGCCTTTTGCCTGCGTCGATCGCACACTCTGAAATCTGGATCTTCAGGCCCAGCGGGGGCGGGAAGGCACGCTCGCGATCGCGGACTGCCTTATAGGCTGCCCGGAATATCGAGTCCTTCTCCACCGTTTCGTCCCAGAGTTGCTGCAGGTCCGCTTCCTCGAAGACCTTCATCTCCGGCAGGGTGGATGTCTCTGAACACTCAGAACTCATCGCGTTGATGCATGCTCTTGTCGATGATGGAATGGCACTATCCGGTATCAACTGTATCATTCTTCCTTGTTCCCGCTCGTCGTCAATGCCCTGTGGCTTGTCTTGTTCGCGGCGGGACAGCGCATCGGGCACGACAGCCTCGCTTCCCGGTCGATACTCGAGCTTGAAGTCGAACTGGGACAATTCGGCTGCCCAACGGCTCTGCCGTTCCGTGAGCTTCTGGCGTGTCATGAAATACTCCAGGTTGCGGTGATCGGTAAGGATTGTGAATGGGCCGCAGCTCCTAAGTTCGGCGCTCCAGTTGTCGAGACATCTCATGATGGCAAGCATCTCCTTGTCGTGAATGGGATAGTTGTACTCCGCTGGCGACAGTCGCTTCGAGAAGAAGGCACATGCGTGTCGACGTCCATCTGGGCCTTCCTGAGACAGGACGCCTCCCAATGCGTAGCCTGAGCAATCTGTCTCCAAAAAGGTCAGGAGGCTCGGGTCCCACTGCTTGAGCACAGGTGACTCGCAAAATCGTCGCTTCAGCTGCTGAAACGCCTCGTTCTCCGCTCGTCTCCAACGAAAGGCAGTTCCTTTCTTAAGCAGGGCATCTAGAGGCTGCGTGATCTTGGCATAGTCGGGGATGAAGATCCGGTAGTAGTTGGCGAAGCCCAGAAAGCTTCTGACACCCTTCACCGTGGTCAGGGCCTCCCATTCGCGGATGGCACGCTGCTTCTCGGGGTCGCAGGCGATTCCTTTCCCTGCGTTGACGATGAACCCAAGGTATTTGACCTCTTGTACCGAAAACTCGCACTTCGCTGGGTCTAGATGCAGCCCAGCGTCGGCGAGTGCTTGGAGAACTCGTCGCACCTTAGCCTCATGATCCGCCTTCGAACCACTCGAGTAGATCAGCACATCATCCAGGTATGCTGTGACAAAGTCGTCCAGCCACTCGCGCAACACACTTTTCATGTATCGTTGGAATGATGCCGGGGCGCCGCTCAGGCCGAAAGGGCACACGAGCCACTCGTAGAGCCCAAACCTCGTGCGAAATGCGGTCTTTCCCTCATGTCCCGGAGCCATGCGGATCTTATGGAAGGCGGCCACCACGTCCAACTTGGTAAACCACTTAGCCTTGGCCAGATTCTGTAGGGTCTCCGCGATGAGGGGCAGTGGATATCGGTCGCGCTTGGTGATTGCATTCAGCGCTCGATAGTCGCAGCAAAATCGCAGCCCTCCATTCGGCTTTCGCACGAACAGCACCGGCGCGGCAGCCGCTGAGCTACTCGCTCGGATGAACCCTCTGTCCAAAGGTCCTTCAGGGTCTTTCGCAAGACCAACAACTCTTCGCGTGACATGTTGTAAAGCGGTCCCCAGGGCAGGGGCGGCTCGTTCCCATTCTTGTCAGGCTGCAAGTTTACCTCGTGGTCCACACCTGGCCGGTGTGGCGGCAGCTTCATGGCCTCCTCTGGTGAAAACAGGTGGCGGAACTCGTTCAACACTTCCGCTGGAACCATCTTGCTCGGATCAACTGGCGGCTTCGGTTGAAGCGCCTTTTCTATGTCTGCCAAGCTGATCGCTCGTATCGAGAACGCGTCGCACGTCTGGCGTCTCTTTGCACGCCGGCACTCCGCCGTGAACACGGCTGCCGACACAAGTCTTGCGCTCCGAATTGCGCGTACTTTGGCGGGCTCTTCCTGCCCTACGAGGCGTACCGTCACGCCTGCTCTTCCGTGGTACACTTGCCGCTTAGCAGCGTCGTACACGACCTGGTTCCTCTCCATCCAAGGCCGGCCAAGGAACATATCCTGGCCGAGGCTTGGGACGACGTACGCAAAGATGCGTTCGTCAAAACCGGCGGTCTCGACAACGACAGCCACAACTCCCGGCGACGTGACACTTTCTGAGGACTCGAGAATCCCCGATCTCTCGAGACTTCGAATCGACGAGAGGAATCCGAAACTTTTGGACGATCGATTCGTCAATCACGGCATAGCAGTCACATCCACTGTCGACTAGAACGCGTATCGGATTACCTCTGTTGAGCCGTGCATTAACGAGCACGGGTCGACTATTCATACGCGACTTGAACGCCTTCCAGTCATGGATATCTGCCTTCGAAGGCCCCGGCGCCCGCTTTCGCGCCGGGGCTGTCTTCCCATCGGCTCGTCATCCCCACTGGATGTTGCAGCCGATTTTGAATCATCGCTAGTATCCGGCCGCTTCACGCAGGCGGTCGTAGGCCGATCTTTCTTCGCTTCGCCAGGGAAGACCAAATGAGCTGGGCATTCCGCGACGAGATGACCCTTCCGGCCGCATCGATAACAGCGGCGCTCGTTCTTGGGCGCCGCATCTGCGTTGCGACGTTTCTTCGGCTCATGACTAGTACGGTTGACATCTGCCATCTTGGTATCTCCGTCTGCGTCGCGGCCTCGACTATCGTGAGTTGCACCCCCGCTTCGAAGGGCGTTCCTTTTTTCCACACATTCTAGACCTGAGGACAGCCTCTGAAGAGATTGGACCCATTCCGAGTACGTGGAGCGAGTGGGCGCCGCGTAGACAGTTGCCAGTCGCAACTCCGGACTCAGGGCGCCCTCCAGGTAGCTGATTTTGACTTCTTCCGGCCAGGTAGCGCCGCCGGAATCAGCGAGTTCTTTCTCGAAGCGAGGAAGCAGTGTCGCGAAGCTTTCCTTATCTCTTTGCCTCAAGGATCGTAATTTTTCCAGCGCGCGAGTCCTGGCGTTCGGGTCCCCATAGCACTCTTCCAAATATTGGAGGTACTGGTCCGGATCTGAGTCTTCACCCTTCCTCCGGCTTCTACATACGCGATCGTCATTTGCTGAGGGCACCCCTAACCGCGCGTAAATGTAGGCGAACTGGTCCGCCTTACTCCCAATTACCCTTCCGTCTACACGAAGCTTGTTCTTCATCTCGCTCAGCCAAGCGCGAAACTTGGATCGAGCGCCCTCGAATCGCGGTGGGTCTGGGAGAGTCGGCCTGGTCTTCCGCAATGATGTGTCGACCAAACGATTCGGTTCATGCAGAGGTTCCGCTCTGCTCTCCGACTCGGTCCCTAAGGGCGTTGGCCTCGAGGACGTCAGACTGTCTTGCAGCAGTTGAATCTGCTCGCGCGTGGCGTCGCGATCGGCATCGCGGTCGGCACGCAAACTTTGCATCTGCTCAGCCATCTGGCTCATCATCTGCATGAGGAGCTGGGAGGTCCGCTCCGGGGAGCTCTCGTCGGCAAAGGTTGAATCCATCGGTAGTGAGCTCTAGATATGTAAGAGGCTGGCCCGGAGTTTGTTCAACTAACAGGTGCCTATGTGTTGTCTATCTAGAGCTGAGGAGGAAAGGAAGCTGAACTTGAGGCGTAGCCTCGAGTGCGAGCTTATATTACCCTTCACAGAAATGTTCTCGCAGCTTCCGGGTCCGCGGAGCGGGGCCGGTGCTGCCACCCGAGCACGACCCACCGGACCCGGTACAACCGGGTCCACCAAGCCGGGCACAGCCCGTGACATCCGTTAAAGCGAGTGATCCGTGTTACGCCACTGTACGATGCAGACAGGCCCGCAGCTTTTCCTGCGGTGGGTATCAGGGATGAGCGTGATGCAGGATCATGCTGATTTCTTTCCCCTCGTCTTGACAATACATTAAACATATACATGGGAGGTCCGAAGGTGGCGAAGCTTTCCGCGTACGAAGTCTCATGACAAGGGGACGGTTGTCCACCTCGGCATCAGCTTCGGAAAACAAAGTAACCTCTGGAGACCTGCATTGAGGTGAGCGGCTCTCAGGAGTGTACCGGTCCAGAATTGTGGCTATTAGGAATCTGTCTGTCTTGGTGGCAAACTCAAGCTGTGCAAAATATCAATCGTTCAGTTGTTTACCGATAGCCTCGTCGTATGCTACTATGATGGAGTTGTAGAGTTGGCTTGGATCCCCTGTAGGGGTTCCAACACTCATCCTCTCGTCCTTATCCAAGGGAAAGAGAATCTTTCTAATCCTCAGACAGAGAGGCCTAAGGACGCGGAATTTTTCTGGGAACTCATCCATAACCTCCTCAAGACCATCAACGCTCATGTGATACGCTTTGGTTCGCGCAATATCCTTGAAACCTCCAATCTCCCACTTCCGCAGAACGCTCTCCTGAGGCGGCTCCTCTTCGCCGCTAAACCCGTTGGTCCATGAGAAGCGCGCACACATCCAGAGGAGGACGTAGAAAAACGACTCAAGGTCATGACGGTAAGTGTGGTCGGCCTTTCGCAGCACCTCGATCGCCATGAACTGCATTGTACCGGTCTGGTGCCGTGCTCCACTCGGCCCGCTGTCCTTGACTTTGGCTAGATCGAGGTCAATAAGCATGCCCTTGAAGCCATCAGCAATCTTCGGATCCGTAACAATGATATTGTTAGAGGAGATATCTCGGTGTAGGATGCTGCCAACGGTATAGAGCGACTGGTGTGCTCTGATAGCGTCTCGGAGTGCCTCTAGTAGCTCAAGAATTGATCCGAAATCGCTAATGACGCGGCCGGCTGGTGAAGTGACGAGGCAGGAGTAGACTCGGTTCTCAAAGGGATCCTCAGGATTGGGTGTGTACAGACTCAGTATTGACTTGTCGCTTGGCCGCTGCTCTTCAAAATCCGAGTTTGGCCTGGACTTCTGGCTGTTAGACCGCGACCTTTTTGATCGTGTTGTGTTCTCAGATGATGACTTGCGCTTGTCGGTCAGTTTCTTGACGCTAACGATAGCGAAAGAGCTTTGCAAGTCGGTAATCTCTGGGTTCTTGGGGCCGGAAGGCGGTATGTCGTACAGAGGCACATCTTCCTCATCCCGAAACTTATGAGGTTTTGGAAAAACCAACCCCTTCCGCATGTCGGCAATTGTGGTGATCGGACGATAAGCCTCAACTCTCGCCAGCCCCTTGACGCCTCTTTTCGCTGCGAGCTCGAGATGCTCCACCTCCGGTTTCCGCTTATCCGATGCCCACGAGAGCTTGGCGACATGGCCTTTTCGCGTTCGGTAGCAACAAGTCCCACGACATACCACGGCCCGCTGTCTGACCAGCAGCTCTTTCAACTCAATCCTCACCTCTTTGCCGTTCGTGTCAGCGCAAGTGACATAGCGATGACCTTTCTTTCGCTCAATGAACACGTCTAGGCCCATTTCGTCGTCATCCATTGTGGCATATCCAACGAGAGCTCGCGCAAACTTATCAGGCTCGTTGTGAATGTCGAATGACCCCGAGCTGTATGGCCCAGACCGATCGAAGACCCAGAGCTCCATCTTGGAAGCGCAGAGGGAGAACGCGTGGACAAATCGGCGCGTCGGCTGGTCGGCGAAGACACCCCGCACATACCGCGTGAGCTGGAGGAGAGTCGCCTTGAACTTGTCCGATTTCTTTTGCTCTCCAACAACGAGAACGTCCTTGTAGGTAAAGGTGCTGTTGGCTTTCCTGGCTGGCTTTTGAAAGAAGAGATCCATCTGGCCTTTCCGTTCCTTGAATTGGTTGGCGGTTCGGGTGGTGTATAACTTGTGGGGTGCATCAGTCAAGAAGCGTTCTTCAAGCGCACAGAGCCATGTCCAGACCGGGTCTTCATCGGGAGTGGACGGGAAGTTCGTCCATTTCTTTCCGTCGTGCGCCACCATCATCCTATTAAGCATCTCTTTCTGTTCTTTGCGCCAGCTCTTGGAGTCGAAGAACTTGTCGCAGAATCCTCCCACATTGCGAAAGGTGCAGTCTTTGATCTCGAAGAAGAGCTCTCCTTCGACAATGTCGCGAGTTTCGCTATCGGCAAGTCGGCTCGAGCTGGTCTTGACGGGTGTTCCCTTGTAGGTTGGGACGATGCTGGATGGAGGGGGAGTGAGGGAGCTGAGGGTGTCGATGAGACTGAGGACGGCATCCCAAATGTTGACGTCAGGAGCATTGTCCACGACAGAGGAAATGAGAGGGCGGAATGGCTCAAGAGTCATCCCACCTCCTCGAACACGCTGCTGTATTGAGAATAGCCTCGTAGCCACATTGCCGCTTGCGTCTGGGAAAGGGAGGCGAAATGCCGCCGTAGAGCTAACCAACGCTCCGACGAGACTTGCAATCTCATCCCACAGTAATTGGTCGTTTTGGTCGCAATCGCCTAGCTTGATCCGGAAACGATCTAAGGTATCATTGAGCGGGTTCTCTGAGATGATGCTGATCTGTTGCTCTGAAAGGGTCATCTTGGGTTTGAACAGTGAGCATGGGCTGATTGATTGTTGTTAGAGGAAAAACGAAAAACCGAGGAGAGGAAACAAGTAACTAGAATCAAAAGACGCGACTGGTCACGTGCGCGTCGCGCAGCTTCCCTGAAACCCTGTATCTCCACACCATGTATCTCCACACCATGTAACTCCACACCATGTAACTCCACTAACCGGTTAGGCGTCATGGTATACGGCAGGCTATAGGGGTGACTGTTGCAAAACCCCAAAATCCGTCACACAAGTGTCGAAATAGGTTAGCGGCATGGACATCCGGCCCCGCAGTACACTGCTCCATGTACCTCAGCGTTTATCTCTTTGAATTTTGTCACGTAGCAAAGGTGCAAATACAGCGGCGGGGACGCAGCGGACCAGCAGAGCGCAGGCCTGTCAATGGCGAAATTGGAGGATGAAATGTACGGATAGGAGCAAAATGTGGGGCTTCTGGGTGTTGCAGTCGAAAGTGGAGGATCTGTAAATAGTTTAGTTTAGTTTAGTGTATTTTCCGTCCAGCAACTTTTGGTCGCTCAGGTCTCCGTAGGGGAGCACAGGACGTGCTGAGCTAGCAGGTGTCTACATGCTACATATCGTACACTTCACCCACTATCCAGCATTTCATCGGCTCAACGGCGCTCATGACAAACCTGTTGCCCGTCAGCGGGACGTCCAGGCACGAAGAGAAAGCTGTCCCGTGGTCAGATCAGCCAATTTGCTTCTGGGGCCTTGCAGCCCTTGATGACCTCGGCGATCGCATGGTCGCGAGACCTTGACGCCGCCCGAGATCGGAGCAGGTAACAGAAAGAATTGAGAGGAAAAGGTAGGGTGAGAGAGGAGAATGATGACCGTCTAGTGGCGTGGGCAGATCCCTCCGAAGAAGGAGCTCGCTTTCGCCAGCCTGACGAATTTGTCAATGTCCTTGCTGAATGCGCGGTTGATGGCTGCAGGCGGCGAAGGTGCAAGCCGCATACGATGCCGTGGCGCAACCTTTCTGCAGTAAAAGATGTGTGCTGGCTCTTTTCGTCGTCCGCACGAGCACGTCAGTCGCGCATCGTCGTGACCAAACCTTTCGTGGTAGTCAGCAAAATCCCCATGGTGGGTTCTTGCTGCAAGCAAGTTATGAAGCAGGGGCCGAGAGAGCGCCAATTCTGACGGACAGCTGGTTGTGGCTTTAAGCCTCAGGTCTCTGTATCGCTCCGGCGCAGAGGTTTCCCACCAGGCACTGAAAGCCTCTTTCCGCTGCAGTCGGGCAATTTTTCGCAGATGCGCTAGCGTCGGTTCGCCATCAGCGGGTTCTGGCAGTGATGCTCCCGCCTTTGCCAGAGCATCAGCCTCCTCGTTGCCTGGGATGTCAGCATGGCCGGGGATCCAATGGACCTCCACAGCTCCGTATTTTCGCGCCAAAGATTGAAAGTCAAGGAAGACCTCTTGCGAGGAGTCGTTCGGCGTGCCCCGTAAGCATGTTGCGGTCGCGAGGTTGTCGAGGCAGACAAAGATGCGGTCAGTTTCTGGAAGGCTCACCGCAGCCTTCAACCCCTCCAATGCACCTTTCGCCTCAGCGTCGAAAACCTCAGCTGTTCCAAGACGGCCCTTGCCGCTCAAGACGGTGGATCCGTCCCGGTGAACAGCATAGCCGTATCCGATGTGGCCTTCCTCAGAACGAGACCCGTCGGAGTAGACGACAAGAGTTCGGGGCGATAGTGCCTGAAGCCAGTCGCGAAATTTTTTCGCCGTCTCGTGTTTCGATGCACTCTGCAGAGGCGCAGTCTGCTCTTCGGCAAATCCGCGCTGCAGTAAAGCAGGTCTCGGGCAGCTCGATAGCATTTCGTCGGCTCGCCGCAGTCTGGTACGGAAGGGCTGTGGCTGTTTCTGGTACTTCAACTTGATAAGTTTGTTCACGGTCACGACGGGAGCTTTTGGTCGCGACGTGCGCTGGACGAGCGGGTGAGCTTCGTCGAGAGCTTTAAGGCGCGCAGCAAAGGCCGTCCGACGCCCTTCGAGGAGTAGAGGAACGGGCGGTATTCTCGCCTCCTGTGCAGCACGTTCGTCGGTGTCGTCCTCCACACTGGCAGAATAGCCCGAAGAGACGTGTAGAGTGCCTTGCTCATCTTCTTGACGAGGTTGCCAATCCCCGACGGCCCCTCCTTGGAAGGCTTCGTCCAGCGCGGGCTTTTCGGACCAGGGTACCAGGCCTCCGCCGCGTACAGTAGCACGGGGATGACGCAAGCGCAGACGGCTCGTCGCATAGCACTCGGCAGAGGCCATGCTTCGTGTTCGTCAGTCTCCTAAGATGAAAGGCAACAGCTTGCGCCTTGGCCGTCCATTTCTCGACGTGTGTCTTGAAAGAGAGAGAGCTGTCGAGCCAAACGCCGAGCCAACGCATCGCTCGATCCGGCCGTTTCTCAAACTCGCCGTGGAGCACCGGCGGCGCCGTCTTGGGCTTCGTTCGAGAGAAGTGCATCACTTCTGTCTTGTCGGGGTCGAAAGAGATCCCGTTAGCGGCGCCCACGAAAGAAGCTCACGTACATGGTGAGATGCTTCGGCGGTCGTTTCATCAAGGCTATTACCGACGCATAGAATGGCAGTGTCGTCCGCGTAGCCGAAGCGTCCCTGAGAGTGACCTAGGCGATATATCGGCTCCGTGTACAACAGGAAGAGGATCGGCGAGACGGGCGACCCTGCGGCAGACGCACTGGAGGGCGATGAATCCGTCACGATGTCTTGATAGCGGATGCGTGCCGATCTGTCCTGCATGAACGAGCCGGCCCAGCGCGCGAGGTTCGATGGCCATCCTTGTTCTCGTAAGCGGAGGACCAATCTATTGCAGAGAACTGTATCGAAGGCGCCTTGTATATCCAAGGTCACCAGGGTTGCGACTTGCTTCCGGGCGAATGCCTCCTCGATGTCGTGAACCAAGGCAGCTACGAGATCCACGGCCGACCTCTTCGGAAGCGCGCCGGCTTGTTGTGGGTGTAGTACGCCGAAGTGGATTGAGCCCCACGCTAGACGCCGTGCAATGAGCCGCTCGAGGCCCTTGCCGAGACAAGACAAAAGGGAGATGGGGCGCCAGGCGCGAGGTGTAGACAGATCTCTGCGTCCTAGCTTGGCGATCATAACCACTTCTGCCTCCCGAAAAGGTTTCGGATGGTGACCAATGGTGAGGCAGCCTTGATACAGCTGATGGACTGCCGATTGCATGCCAGACAGCGCGAAGCATCCGCACCGTGATGTTGTCCGAGCCTGGAGATGTGTTCCCGGTGCGTAGAGTGGCGTCGCGAGCCTCCTCGAAGGAGACCTGATCGGGAAAGGGAATCATCTTATCCGTGTTCACGGGAATCCACGGGTCTGGGATGTCGTCGCTCGCTGTGCGCCGCTCCAGAGTTGCTCGCCGCAAGGCGGTGGCTTTCTCCAGCTGCGTCTCGTACACTCGGCCGTCTACTTGCAGGGGAGGTGCCTGGCACGGCCCTGAGGATTTTAGCCAGCGGACCGCCCGAAAGACGGAGTCGCCGTCGGCAAAGCTGTCGATCAAATCACGCCAGTAAAGGCGTTTTGCTCGGCGCACTGCATTGTGAAGCTCCCGCTTGGCTAGCTGCACTTCTCGGTCGAAGCCGAGAGGGTACACCCTCCTCCACGCGCGATAATTGGCCGCCGCCTTTGCGCACTCTTCGTTCCACCACCGCGCCCCATGCGTCGTCTTACGGACTGGTCGGCCAGCAGCTCTCGCTGCACAACCAAGAAGGTCCACCAGCGCCGACGCAAAGTTGTCCAGCTCGGAGGGAGTTGAGGTTGTAGTCGGGATGAAAGCTGCACCGGCTTCTACCAGCTCGACAAATCGCTTCAATTCCTCATCGGAGTTGAGGCGGATCTTGCATAATGGAAGGGGTGCTAGGGCTTGACTAGGCAGCGTGATACTAAGAGTAAAGTGGTCGGACCCGGTTGCTAAATGATCCTCAACAATCGCGTCCGCCAAAGGTATATTGGAGAAGGCGAGATCGATCGTGCTGCCGCGCGCGTTAGTCGGGACATCGACAGCATTCAATAAGCTGAGTCGGTTATCCATGGCCCAGAACGCGATGTCTTCGCCGCGGTGCTCTTGTCGGCCGGCCTGCCAGCTGGGATGCTTAGCGTTGAAGTCGCCAGATACAAGGCATTTATCCGTCGCGCACCAACCCAGCAGTATTTCCAAAGCCGCGTCGTAGTCCGGCTGCCGATAGAAGTTAACTACTGTCGTCCCGTTCACGGCGAGCCAAAGGATGTCACGAGTCGCCGCAGGTCTCTTTTGATCAGCGACGAGGCCTGCGGAGCGCCGGACGTATGTCATGACTCTCGGACGAGTGTCGCGGCCGTCCCAGTCGGTGACGGGTGAGAATGTGTCGTAGGCCGGATGCGTCTTGGTGAGGCATCGGCCGTCTTTAAGTCCTGTCCATGGTTCCTGCAGCAGGATAATGTCGTATCGCTCCGAATCAGCCAGCGCGAGCGCAGTGTCATGCGCCGGAGGGATCTTGCCCACGTTGGCTTGGAAGACTCGCAAGGCCCTCCTGTCGCTTCGATTGTTGGGATGACGGTGATGCATTAGGGCAGCGTCACAGGGCTAGTGCGTCGTTTCTTCGACGGGACGACAGGGGTGAACTGGTTGTTATCGCTAGCGTGCGGCGGCGTCGTGGCCACGACAATGCAAGGGTGAGAAGCGGCTCGCTCTGGGTGGCGCTTCTGCCGGAGCTTCCATCCTCTCCAGCTGCCTGCGACTCCGAAGAACGTAACTGACTCGAATCAGGGCTCTGACAAGACTGCTCGGGCACGTTGTGGTTTGGTGTCTGTCTTTTCTGCTGCGCGAAGAGCTGAGCTCCCGCCTGCCTCACCAGACCCTTCTCCTCTTTCGTCAGGCGCCGTACAATGCCATGAACGCGCTTGGGGCGCGCAGGGCATTTAGGGTCATCAGCGCAATGTGGCCCGAGGCAGTTTGCGCACTGCTTGAGGGCTGCGCACTCTTGGCTACGATGGTTGGTCTTGCCGCAACGTCTGCAGCGCGCCGTCCGGTTGCAGCTGTGGCGAGCGTGGAAATCCCAGCATTTATTGCATTGGCTAGGAATGCTGGGTTTGTCGATGTAACGGGCGAGACGGCTGGCGCCGAATAGTCTCCAGGGTCTTTGTGTGGGTTCCAGGAAGGACACAATCAGGGTCTGGGTGGGCATGTCACCCGAGTCGTGTCGCGATAGACGTATGCTGATGGGCTTCAGTCCGGTTTGGCAGGTAATCTCTTCTTTGACAGCCTCCTCGTAGTTGATCACGACACCTCGTAGGTCTGTGAGCCTACGAGGACAATCGGCCACTACATAAGAATGCCATTTCTGGCTTGTCTCGACGGCCGCGGCTTCCAGGTCTACGGCCCAATCCGCCTGCCGTTGCACAAGTAAGTCACGCGTGGCCACATCCGATGCCTGGATGGCCCAGCCCGTGTTTACCGGGAAGGCTGCCGGAATGCGGCGCAGGTCAATACCGACTCTAGCGGCGATGTGGGTCCGGATTGCGTATCTTTCGTGGTTTCGGGCCGGAGCGTCAGCGTCAAGTCGGACGAAGACACGGAGGTCTTCCTTCGGTGGGGCTACGGGCGGTCGTCCTGGCAGACGAGTGGTGGTCTGTGGTTTTCGCTGTGGTGGGGCGGAGGCTGTAAGGCCAGCTGTCCTTGCTTCGGCTTGCCGGATGCGAGAACGCTGCTGTACGTGGGCTTCGGTGGTTCCTCGAGTTCGGCAAGCGATTGAGTCCAGAATTTGAGAAATTTGGCGACTTGCTTGGCGATGCTGTTTTCGGTGCCAGACGTGAACTGCTTTGCTGCTTGTTCGAATGATTCGCTAAAGACCCGTAAGACTGCCAGCTTGGCGTTATGGGCTGCCGTTTTGTCGCGAGCAATTTTCGTGGCCGCTTCGAGAATTGAGACTGGCGCGTGCTCAGTGGACTGGGCCGAGTCGAGGAGATTCGGGGCTTCTTCCAGCTGCGCTCCTTCCGTGACGGCAGCTTCAGGCGTTTCGGTGGAAGAGATTGGCTGGGCCAGCTGCTGGGCCGCGGGAAACGAGTCGTGTCGGCGAGCTTCCGTCGGGTAGCGAGGTCGGAGATGCGATATGTGAGCCGCTGAATTTGGCGGCGATCGTTTGCCTTGTCTCGAGGCATTGGAGTCGACATGCGAACCTGAGGCTGGTGCCATGGCCGCTGCCGGCGCTTGCGCGCGGCTCAATTGGAGTTTTGTCAAGAGCACTTGTTAAGCGAAAGTATGTGAGAATATGCTACTTTCTTAACACTTGCGTGCCAAGAAAGTAAAAATACAAGGAAGGATGGCCGATAACAGTACAATTCAATTCAATTCAATGTATTTTTCGTCCAGCAGCCGTAGGCCGCTCAGGTCTCCGCGAGGGAGCACAGGACGTGCTGGGCTAGTGGCTATCTACATGCTGCATATCCATAATGAGCCCGTCGCCCGTCAGCGGGACATCCAGGCGTAGTGGAAAAAGCTGCCTGTAAATAGGTCAACAAAAAGTGGTGAGGGCCTTGCAACCCGCGGAGGCCTCAGCAGGCACATGGTCACGAGACCTTGTGCGACGGCGTGCGGTATAGGGTATATGTCGTTATCTGATGCCTTGGACAGCTGACGTCAATATCCGTTTGCCGCAAGAGGATCCGCTCGGCCGACACGCAAAAAGGCGTAACAGAATGGAACGTCCCAGGCCGACTTACTGAGCTAACACGTTAGTCGAAGCTTTGGAGTAGAAGCACCAAGGAAACAGTGACACCCTGAAAGACAATAACCTGTGCCCTTATGAGCGGCAGACAAAGCAAATACCTCCAAACAAGGGCTGCACCACTGCAAGTAGATCTGCGTCGATACAGGAGCGGATCTATGGGGCGGCTACCGCTTCAAGTAGTGATCAAGGGTGAAGCAAAGTCGTTTAAGCCAAATGAGTCATTATCGCTGTTCATGGCCTGGATTGATGGCTGGTGCATAACGTCCAGGTAATGACGAACAAGCGATGTTTCTGATGTTTCTGGAACGGGCCTCGGATTTTTCGGACGTGTTGAGTAGCATCATGACTGCGGGGTTTGGTAAATGGGTCTAGATGTCACGAAAAATCAAGCCACCTGTTGTTCAGGCGGTATGTTCAATTGAACATCAAATCTGCTTCGCGACATAGGTACATAGAATATCCCGAGTACCTGGACTAAGGACCGTGTGTAGCACCTAACCACTCCATCTAGCAATTCTGAGGCTCTGAGGCCGGTCGGAAATTCGGGGCCCTTTCCCCGTCAGCGGGTTCCAGGCACGGCAGTGAAGCCGTAATAGTAGTCAGTCTTTGGCCGAGGCCGGGTGACTGAGAAAGCCCACGAAGTCATGGGCCGGCCGCAAGCCCCGTAGCAATGTTAGTCGGGGATTCGCCCCGATGGCGATTGTCTTCTCCGCAGGAGCGTTCGATCCGGGCCACTTCGTGGTTATGACAGTCGGCGAAGTCCCCGTGCCTGCTCCTCGTAGCAAGCAGGTGGTGGAGGTGTTGTCGATTGGTGTGCAGCCCGGGGACACCCGGGTGAGGCCTTGAGCTCTAGGCTCTTGTAGCTCCTCGGGGCCCCCGCGGCCCACCAGTCCAAAGGAAGTCGTGGCCGCTGGGCGGCAGAAAGGGCCGCAAGGCGGCAAAGGTCGGAGCCGCGAGACGGCAGAAGGAGTCAGAGCCGCAAGGCGGCACAAGGCGAGGCCAGCCAGTAAAGGCGGCAGAGGGTGCGAGGCAGCGCGAGGCGTGCCAGGAAGGGCGAGAAGAAGTCGGGCCGCGAGGCGGCAGAAGTCGAGGCCAGCCAGTAAAGGCGGCAGAAGAAGGCGATGCCGCGAGGCGGCAGAAGGCGAGGCAGCGCGAGGCATGCCGTTATTCGAGACCAGCTTCCCAAGAGGAGACGAACTCTCCAAAGTCTGCCTTTGGTGCTTGCTAGAGCCCCGTTAGGGCTAGAGAGGCAGAAGCATGGTCGGGTGACCTGAAAATAATTATCCACTAACAGGCTGCTAACAGCCCGCAGAAGAGAAGAATTTTTACAGGGGAGAGTTGCACGGCTAGGATAAAGCGACGGGGGGGAGAAGAAGAAGAGCGGGTCAAGCGACGACAAGAAAAGCAAGAGCGGGCCGAGCGACGGCGAGAAAAGGAAGAGGAACGCGCTAGGCGACTGTGTCACGAAAAATCAAGCCACCTGTTGTTTAGGCGGTATGTTCAATTGAACATCAAATCTGCTTCGCGACAGACTGAGGGCAAGGGAGGATGAGCAGGCACGGCAACAACTTGTCGAGGAGGAGCAGGCCCGACGGCAGAGAGAAGAAGAGCTATGCGTCCCAAGACAGCGTGCACCACCACGGTGTAGTAAATGCAGGTCTTTTGAACACAATGCTCGGACGTGTAATAGATAGACAGTTCTGAATTGACTTGCTTGTTTGTCTCTTGGAATCAATTGCCGTCTGTTGTGTTCGGTGCGGGTCGCGTCGGTGGAGAATTTTTGAGCGGGTAGGGGGTGTGACCGGGAAGGGGGTGGATTACGTTTCTTAAAACTGTCCACGAGTTTTGGGGCTGTCCACGCCTTTTGTGCCCAACTAAGGGTAGGGGCCCCTAGTTGGCTTACAAAGGGACCTGCCAACGGGTATCTTTGTCAAAGTGTAGAATACCATGAACGTTTCGTTGGTGCAGTGTCGTCTAAAAAGAACTGTCTTACAGCACTGTATCGTCCGATCTTTCGGTTGGCGCACGCACTAGGATTAAGCGCATACGCGCTGAAGTTGCAGCGCCTTTACAGTGGTTGTAAAGCTGCTGACGTGATTTGGGTATCCAGGGTGCGCCGTCTAAATGGGCACCCGGGTACCCATGTATCGGTCGTCCTCGTATGTGACGCGCTCGGGCACAAACCAGCATAAATAGAGCGCCGCATCCCACACTGTCCTGTCTCCCTGGGAACTGCCACTGCATTGCCATCGGTATCCCGCACTAACGAGTCATTATCCCGAATCATGCAAGGGTCGGACGAAAACTAGACCACGCGGGCCCGCGTACGGGCAAGCCCAAACATGAACCTTGCAACATAAAGTTGAGAGATCGACAAGCTGAGCCGCAACAAGCAGCCGTCTGACGTTGACACATCAGGATCCCGCACGGCGGCAAGAGAAGGTCATTGAATACCCGAGTGACATGCACCATTCCACTCCGACGTAGGGAGGCTTTAAGGCAACCAGCGGGGCAATAAGCACATCAAGAGCACGCTAACTAGTAGAATTGCAGTCGCTCCCCTCTGTTAGCATAATGCGGGTACATCATTAATTGACCTCTCCACTATATTCGTCCCGCCAGGAAAGATCATGCTCAACTCACCCTTTTGTGTCCCTATTCTTCGACGCTTTGGCCTGGCCAAAAGTCTAGTCACTAACCGTAACTGCGAGGCCGCCGGCTAATAGGGTAAAGCGGTGTGGCTGTTCGTTGCCATGGACTCTTAGCAGTGGATCTCTCGAACTTTAATGGCATTTGAACCCACCACGCTCACAAGATGCCAAGTTGAGCGGTCGGCCGT